TGCTAGTGTGAAATTTGGCTTGGGTCATAAGGGGCCCATGTTACCAACAGAGGGTTAAGCGTAGAATTATTTTCCATTCAAATAACATTATTGAGCATTTGATTGAATTGCTAAGTATTTGAAATTCAGGTTCGAATTTTCTTGAATAAGTAGAAAGAATTTTCTTGTCTACTTGTCTGTTGCATTTTGAAACTGAGCTTTTTATTAGCTTATATATATTCACAGGTACCGTTTTTCACCGGCATACTTTGCAGTTTAATAAAACATAGATTCATCCAAGGAGGGTAAACAGTTCTCGATATTGAGCGTGTACGGACTGCATTTAGAGTGAATCATTAGGAATTGGAAAATATATTGAATAATGTGTTCAAGAATGTAAGTAATAGACAAGATTACATTAACATATGACGGAAGCCACGGATTTTTTTTTTTAAACCGACAAGACGTCAAAGTAATTGTAAAATAAATTGCATAGCAATTACCTAATTGAATCAACGTTCCAACGCTTTAATTCAATTTTTTTACAATTTAACGATTAAAAAGATATTAACAATTTCATACGTACGATGTTGAAATAATTGTATCCTAAATTTAACACGATAAAAAAAGAAAAAGGAAGAAGAATTGGCCAAATTACTGTCACGTTTATTTTCTGGCAAAAAAATCGAAATGTGCGTTGAATCTGTATCGCGATCAACGTTCGATACTCAATATGTAATACTGTTATGTAATATCGAATGCAGATGCGCGGTGCAACATCCTTATAATTGCTTAACGCGTTTAGTCACTGGTATCATTTTTACGATACCCACGCGAAACTTTTACCGTCCGCATGGAAATAGAAGTTGACCTATACCAATAATTTCACTTATTAGCTAATTCGCCAATTTCACCTCTTTTCGTACACGATTCTCCTTTAAATTCATCTCGCGAACTGGACAAGCTGGACTCTACCTCGTTTTCCCTTTTTGTTCCCATTTATCGATTTCACGATTGCATACAACGTATAGACGATATATATACTTACACATAATGTTCTCTTCGATGAAAATCGTATTCAAGATCATTTTTTTTTTATCAACTTTGATTATACGGTCAGAACGAATTTGTGGGATACGGAAGTATGAAGTTGGTAAGAAAAGGGAAGAGGAATACGAAAAATGTATCGAATCAGTGAAAGTACGAGGAAACTTTTTTTTACCTAAAAACAAAAACACTTTTGTAATTGTTGCTTTTTGCAATAACTTGTAATTGTTGGGCGATTAAATAGAAAAGTTTGGACGAAAAAAAGATGAAAAATTTGAAAAATAGTCAGGTATAGTATATCGATTTTTTTTTTAAAGAAATTTCTTCTTTTTAATCGTGTACTTTTTGCATTAGGTGTAGAAATGAATTATTTCCGACTGGAAAACCACCGTGTTTCCATCGCGATGATATTCGCGAGTTGGCAGAAAAATGGCGAAAGGTCATCGACAATAATGGAAATTATTTCGACGATTGACCTATTTTCATTTCTTTTCAGATAAAACTTCGATTGTACTCAAATTTCAGAAAGAATGCATTTCTACACCTAGTAGAACGAAAATTGCAGAAATTTTATATACAGGGTGGACCAAGTAAAACAGGCCACCTAATTATCTTCTCTAAATAGTTGTAGTGGTACGAGAAAATTTTTGTACGTAATTGAAATGGTTTCAAAAGGTGAATAAAATTGAAAAAAATTTTTTTCATAAATGCTACCTTTTTCTGTTATTTTTTTCAAGGTCACTTACGTTCTCACGTGGACAACCCAGTATAGTTTCCATTGTATCTCGGAATTTCTGCAAAGATTGCAACGTTATTCTCTTTTTGAAGACAGCTTTCCAATCTCTCGAGATATCCGTTTTCATTTGCGATTCTGCAAAAAAAAAAAAAAAAAGGCAAAAGCACCAGGTAACAATAGCATATATCATCCACGTTTATCTTGGCATTCTGTCTATGAATACTCTTTAATAACTGGTTTTTAATATCCTGCTCGTCATAGTCTTTGATTATGTAGATCTTTAGATAATCCACGATGTTTTCATGAAATCATCTTCGAGAATTCTGCGTAATTTGCATTTTCAGCTGGAACCAGTACGTTTCCGCAATCTCTAATTCCCTTCAATTCGTCGTACACTTTATACACGATGAAAGTGACTTGGTTGATTTGCATTTTAAATAGCGTGTACATTTTATACCATTCTGCAAATTAAAAATCAGTAACCTCTTCACAACGTCGAAAATTTTATGTTACCAGTTAGACTAATCAAATGCTACAACGAAATATGAATCATAACGCGATAAGATAAGATAACAAATGACCAAAGTAAAAAAACAAAGTAATTAAATAAAACACGTAACAGGTACCTAAATGAACGAAATTTAGCAATTTGATTTTAAAATTGGAATTTCGAAAATTCAATTTTGCACACACATATGCAAATGGTATTGCAATAATGGAAATTCTACGTACAAACACGCAGGTTCGTGTGGTGTCTGAATTAAAAGAAAAGAAAAAATAAGAAATAATGGTAAAATAATGATAAATTAAAAAATGACAAATGTAACGCTGCAACGAATTCAACAATGAAACTAAAGTTGCGTTTAGTTTAAAAATAATTGGCCATCTTTTAGATCTTCAAATTCACGCTTGTCGCGTAATAATCAAAATTGTATTTTATCAGCACTGTGATTGCGCCTGTGAATTGCTTTTTCATACACTTTTCGAAAAAAATGATTTTTCGCACGTTTCAACAATATATAATATATCAAACTATATTTTATCACAATGGAATGTTACGAAACAGTTTCTCGAGAACAAACGTTAATATTACAGTGTACGCGGTTAAATATTTAATTGTGTAATTAGTAAGAATGGACGTTTAACGAATCTTGAAGACACGCATAACTGCACCATTGTAAATCTCGATTTGAAATTCGCAATTACGAAATGGAACATATTTTTGCGGTCGTTCTGCTACTGTAAAATGGAGTTCAATGTTTAACTAGACTTGAACTACCTGAAACATGAAAAATACATAAATAGAAAGCGAGAAAAATAAATATCAATAATATTGCGAAAACGCCATACGTTTTCACATTTAGAAAAAAAAACATGTGCAAAAAAGTACAAACTTCCTAAAAGAAAAAGGACAAAACATTGACACGGCAATTAAAAAAAAAAAAAAATACTGTAAATTCGGAATGAATAAAATTTTCGCTATTTCTATGATTTAAAGTTTCTGTTTTTTCATTGCTCGAATTATTAACAGTATGTGCAATTAATACCATTTTAAAACTGTATAAAATCACGTATTTAAAAGAGAACAGATTTTAGCATTTCACTGTTTGTTATTTAAGAAAATCCTTTTCGATATATAATTGCATAATTAATATAATTAATTAGTTTAATTCCCGTAGAACTGGTCCGACGAGAAATTTAAGAAGACAGAAATTTTATCCACTACTGAACATGAGATCGTTACTTTACGAACCAAATATTATGAAATATAAAAATCTAATTTCCACGTTGAAATTTTCTACAATTGTCATTTGAAATCTCAAGCACCTCGAGAAACAGAGTAATCCAATAATGTAAGAATCGTACGTAAAGGTTAACGTAGAGCCACGTAACTGCCTATGTGTGAAGTTTCTTTTTTCTCGTATTTTCGAAGTATACGAAAGAAAGTTCGTAAGATACTACGTTTCGTCGTTATCGAGTATCCATTCTTCCACAAAGGAAACAGTATTATGCTGTGACAAGCCCTCCTCACTCGAGAGATCGTTCTGAATTAATTAATGCAACAGTTAAGATCGCTGTACGATCGAAACAATGCGAGGTATGACGAAAAAGTGCCGCGAAATCTTTGTTCAGCTGGAAGACTGCGGCGTAAAGATGGGTCAACCTTTCGCCTTGCGATTATGTAAGACCTCGGACTGACTGACCTTTAGGTTCGTTCATGGCATGCGGCATTTACGTAATTTACCGATTACGATGTATTAGAATCTTCTGTGCCTAGAAAATAGTTCTTCTTCCCGTTCTAATATTTTTTGACGCTACGCCAAAATAGTCACCCGGTTCTCTAATCGTCCTTTACGCACATAATAACATTCTTATCGTTTAACCTATGTACGTATATAACAAAATTTCTCGTCGAGCTCCTTCAAATACGGTTCAGCGCTGCTTCCTCTCGAGTAATTCTGTTAATTCGTCGTAGCCAGCGTGTAAGTTGAACGTGTAACGCTCGGAATAACGTTTTATGACAAGAAGTTGTAAAACTCGAGGAAGATGCAAAGTCAAAGTAGCGCGAGTACCATTCTTCTTCCCCCACCGCTGCTTTTCGTAACAGTTGTTAATGAACGTCGCAATCATTACAAGATACATACATACTCGACGCTATACGCTTACAATACGTCAGATGGATTTAGTGTGACGTTTTATTTGGGACACTTTTTCCCATCTATTCTGCAGAAATTTCTGCTCGAATAAAAAAATAATGCTTGAAAATCGGGCTTTAACTTTTCTTCGTACTATTATTTACGGTTAAAAAAGTGGGATTTGTGAGGCTAAACATTAGATTGGTCCAATTTGTTAAAATTATAAATAAAATGCTTATTTCAACTCAACATGTCAAATGTTTTTTCATTGAAAATTCACGTAAATGATATTAAAGCAAATTCCCTATGTACCAGCGTCGACAGTGTGTCGACAGATATCCTAGGTGGCACATAGGACGTCCCATTATTAAATTCATTCTTACTCTTATTAGCGACAGATATAATGACTGGCGACATCTAGAAACATTACGTTTAGTGTGTAACGAAAGTATAACCTGCATTTAATAACAATTCAGTTAGTAGTCTTAAAAGTATTATTAAAACTTGTGATTTCAAGACGAATACCGAAAACATTGACATTTTCATTTTCGAAGAATTTATTTACATACATTTCATTAATTTAATTACAAAAAATAAAAACAATGTTAGAACAAACAATGCAAACTTTAACAATGAGTAGAGTTATATTAGCTAGTGGATCTCCCAGACGATATGAATTAATAAAATCATTGGTAATATTTTTATGCTATTCAAAAATTCATTATTGTTATATCAGGGAATTTTGTTTTTTAGCATAGTAAATAATATAATAACCTATGTGAGTGAAAACTAAATTCACCAAAAAAAAAAAAAAAAAAATTTAGTGTATATTATTGAAGAAATGCAACTTAATGATGGTAAATTGCAATTATCATTGTTATGTTGTACATTGCTTTTATAAATTTTGTTATATGAAACCCAAGAAATAATAGTTAGGTTACATCATAATAAAAAACACAATGTTATGCAAATAATAAGAGATTTAGAATTAAACATTACTGTATATGTTTCTTTTTCATACATTAGGGTATAAATGTAGAAGTTGTACCTTCCACATATGATGAAAACTTGGATAGGTCAAAATATAAAAATATTGGAGAATATGTGCAAGACCTAGCAAAATATAAAGTACAAGAAGTATATGAGAGATTAAAAGGTGATGCTGTGCCACCTTCTTTAATAATTGGTGCAGATACTATGGTGGCACTAGGTGATACCATGTATGGTAAACCAAAAAATAACTCACATGCATTTGAAATACTTTCAAGGTATACCAATTACCTTATACATAAGTAATTTCAATATCAGTTTGCAAGCCAGATTGTAATTTTAGCTTAGCAAATAAAGAGCACACAGTTTATACAGGAGTATGTTTAAAGACACCAGAAAGAGAAGTGAAGTTCTATGAATCTACAATAGTGAAATTTGGTGACATATCAAAGGAACAAATACAGGCGTATGTCAAATCTGGGGAACCTCTGTGGGTATAAAATATTTGCTTCTTTACATATACTAATTGTGATAGCATGAAACTACTATTGTTTTTCATTGTAGAGATAAAGCTGGAGCATATGGTATACAAGGTGTTGGTGGGTGTTTAGTTGAAAAAGTATATGGTGATTTCTATACAGTAATGGGCATGCCATTATATTCATTGGCAAAACAATTGAACAAAATTTTCTGTAATAATTAACAATAAGTATTCAAGGTATAACATAATTAATAAAGTACAAATAATTTATTCTACAATAAATGTTTAAAAAAAGAACAAGTTATGTCATTTTAATCTCCCTTTATATCGACTATATTAGTTGTGTCAGTCATATGAATTTTTGTACAAAAAGAATTTGAATCATGACTGATATTAAAATTTTGTGTGCAATATCAAGGATTCAATTTGTACATGGTAAACATTTGTTATTTACGCGTAAATTAATTATGTACTATAACAAGTATTTATTTATTAAACTAAATTGTTTCTAAATATCTTTATATTTTTTAATACATTATAACGGAGTATAATCAAATTAAGTTATATACAGTTTATGAAGGTTTCAATATTATGCTAATGTTTAACTATTTGACAATTAACTACATTAAACAAAAATATTTATTTTTTAATACAGAAATGACAATTACGAGATTTAGTATCATATGGTCACCTTTTTCAAAATTGACAGGAGTTCAATGTATATTTATATAAGAAAAAAGAAATTACAATACAGTTAATATACTTAGTTAATACGCATGGAACGTTCCTAAGCACATAATTTAGTGCATCGATGCATGGACACATATTTGCCCATTATAAACTTCGACTATTTCTAACAAAAATTAAATCTTTTTCGTTGAAAAAAGAAAGCTCAATACTTACGTATCCATAAGATCGTTTAAATCAAACGTGCAATGGCGCCTTGTCATTCTCACCAATAAGTAGCAAGTACAAGTGTAAGTGCGTATGTATACGTGCTCGTTTCTTGTCTTTGACCGCTTGATTTACCGGACCGGAGTTGGTAATTTTGTGATGAGTTCTAAGTTTTTAAGATAGAATTTAGAGCAGGACAGGTTATTTCGTCGTAGTATTGTCGACAATTTGTATTAAAATATGGAGGATGTTCTTGAAGAGGTTGTTTCTTCTGAAGATTTGCAGGTAAATTGCTCTGCTGAAAAATGTGTTGATATTATATTTCTTCCCAATTCTTTAGTAATTTTTTTCTTACATATTTTAAGACAGTGGGCAAAATGTCTAATTTGAAGTATTATTAAAATTATATTACTTATTTTAGAAATGAAGTTTTCATTGCTTCTTATAATGTAAAGTAGTATCGAATATGTAAAAAGTTAGTAGAGGTTATGTACAATGAAACTGTTCTGCGTTTCAAATTCGTATTTATTATTTTTGTAATATAAAGTAATAATGGATTATTTTGAGTATTCATAGTTGCGCTTAA